GACGCTTAACCGACTGAGCCACCCAGGCGCCCCAAAAATAATGCTTTTTGATAAGAATACCTCAAAAGTGTCAGTTTTATTGTAAGTAAGATTTAAATGTTTTTGTCTAAATTTCCAGGATTCTAAGGTGAAGGTGCATGCCCCCGCCTTAAAATGGAAGTATTGTATTTTTTAAATTAAACTAGCTGACATAAACAAAAAGGAACATATTTATTACTATTTTTTAAAATCATGTTTTTTTTTTTTTAAGTTCATTTATCTATTTTGACAGACGGAGCATGTGCACACACGAGCAGGGCAGGGACAGAGAGAGAGAGAGAATCCTAAGCAGTCTCCGCGCTGTCAGCGCAGAGGCTGAGGTGGGGTTCGATCTCACGAACCGTGAGATCACGACCTGAGCCAAAATCAAGAGACAGACGCTCAACTGACTGAGCCACGCAGGCACCCCACAGAAAGGAATATATTTAAAGAACGTGTAGGAATTGTTAGAATCGTCAGGAAGGCTGGAGATCCTGGTTCCGAAAAGGATGGACACCCAGGCCCTTCATTCCTGTTCATGTTGCACGCTGTCGCCTTCTGCCGGGCCACTTCAGGTGTCGGCACACAGCTCAGCAGCGACGCAGCTATCGAGGAGTGAGTGCATTTTTGTTGGGTGAGGTATACCTAGGGGTGTGCTTACGGGTTAGTGGGTTCACCACTCGGTAAGTTTAACAGCAACTATCCTATCCGTTGCTTCTTTTTAGTATTATTATATTGATGCTCTTGGTATTTATTTCTAATAAAATCTTTTTTGTTCTCGCATCACTCTTTTGTGGTTGCTACCTGACCTTATTTCTTCAAGACATTATCGATACGAGTAATCATATGATTAGACTGTTTGACATTCCTTCCCCTTCCTTGGCATTTCCGGGCCCTTCCCATCTCCTCTGAGCCTTCTCTTCTGGGAAGTGTGGCCTTGCTCTTTGGGCTACCTCATCTGCTCCCTCCCTCTGACTGCATCCTTTCTCATGATTTTATACACGCGTCATCTGTTCCTGATTTCCAAGTTTTGGTCCCCAGCTAGGTTTCTTCCCTGAGTTCTGGGCTTACACATCCTCGTGTCCTTTGACATCTGATGGATGTTGCAAACATAATGGGTCCTGACCTGAGCTTCTCAAATCCCCACAAACCCTACTTCCCCAAAGCCTTACCCATTGTAGTTGATGCAGCTGCACCCTTCCCTTCCTCGGGTTGGAAAACCCAGGAGTCACTCTGACCCCACTCTGTCCTGCAGGCTCCCATAACCCGGCCCCTCTCTGCATGCCGCACCTGTCTCCCTGACCCTGTTTGGATCTCTTGTATTCCAGGCTCCTAGAAAAGCAATCAGTGCTCCATAAGGACTTTCTTTCCATGTTCTCTGTTTAATTTTGTCCTCATCTTTTAAAATGGTGATTCTCTTAATTTTAAGCCTAATGACTGTTTTTGTTGTCTGTACAGATTCAAAAGTGAAACTCTAGTTTGACCAGCAGGGAGAGACCTCAAATTGTGGGTAGGGGTGGGTTCTCCTCACCACAGGGGCCTCCCCCATCCCCCAGCCACTGTGCCCTCGGCAGTGGGCTCCAGGAGTTGTGGAGCTGGTGCGGTTCCCGTGGCATCCATGAGGCAGGCATCTCTTTCTTTGCAGCCAAGCACTTGGTGATGGCCCAGCTTTTCTCCATGGACTGGGCTTTGCTTCCCTGAGTGCTTCTGTCAGTGACCAGGAACTTAGATGGCATGTGTATTTGGGCTGGTGCCCCTCTTGAATTTCCAGCGGGGCTAGTCTCATATTTTCCAGGTTCCCTCCCTGGCAGTTGGCATTGTGATTTCCCTCTTTAGCCCATTTTAAGTTTAGATTCTAGAACTTTCCATTCTTTTTAAAAAGTTTCTTACTTATTTTTGAGAGAGAGAGGGTGCATGTGTGTGCAAGCAGGAGAGAAGCTGGGAGAGAGGGGGAGTTGGGGGGTGGAGAGAGAGAGAGAATCCCAAACAGGTTCTGTGCTTATCGCAGAGCCCAATGTGGGGCTTGATATCATGAACTGTGGGATCATGACCTGAGCTGAAACCAAGAATCAGACGCTCAACTGATTCAGCCACCAGGCACCCCTAGAAATTTCCATTCTTGATACTGGAGGATGTGTTTTAACTGAAGAATCTGTTTTCATAGGTGTTAGTATGTAATAAATAATTAAGTAATATGTACAGTACAGATTGCAGCAAGATATTAGAAGATCATTTTGATGTGCGAAAGTTTGGAAATGTTGAAAATATGTTCCATTTTTGTAGGCAGCAAAGCAAGAGCGGAAGAGAAGGAGAGGAGAGACGAAGGCTCTGAATGGGGGGACGAAGAGAGGGAGAGGCGGTACCGCGAAAGAAAGGTAGGCCGCAAGCCCAGGAGCCGGTGCTCACGCAGGAGCGTTAGAAACAGTTTGGGAAAGTGTCGGAACAGGATTCAAGGTCTGAGGAAGTTTGCCTCCGCTTTTCCCTCACACGCACGTGTTGTTCTTCTGTTCCAAGAGAAGTACGAGGTGATTTTGGAAAATTTAGGAAATCCAAATAGTAAGAAGGAAATAAAAACAAAGTCCACCCAGAGACAATTATTGATAGTATTTAAGTATTTATCCTGATAGAGTAGGTCTATGTACGTATTTGTGTGCATGTGTGTGTATACACACATGTTTTCTTCACGTGGAGTTTTACTCTTATGAACTGTTTAAACGATACATTTGGAGCAGTTTTCTAAGTCCCGTTTCTCTATAATATTATTTTAATGGCTGCATAATATAACAGTCAATGACATGGGTGTGTCATAGTTTTCTTGGCACATCTGCTCTTTTTGACGCTCAGGTTGCTTCTGGATTTTTTTTTTATTGTAAAGACATGCATGGGGTAAAGTCTTTCCGTTTATTCATAGTTATTTTCTTCTGATTAATTTCTGGAAATGAACTTGCTAGATGAGAGTAATGTAAACTTACTCCATCTGCTCTACATAAAAGCTGTGATTGGCTATATCGTCAGAGTGTAATTCCCTGTGTCCTAGGCAGCCGTTGGGCACGATCATAATTTTTAATCTTTGCTAATTTGATCCAGAACAAGGGAGCACTTCTGAGCACTTTATGAAAGGGTTTCCTGCCCTCTTGTCAGTTATTCCCTGTGTGCATTTGCTTCCTTTCCTAACAGAGCATCTTATTCTGGGAGGACTTTAAAGATGAACTCCCTGCTAGTAACTTATGTTTCCACTTCTGTTTTGAATTTTTTTCATGGAATCTTTGTTTTTATAAGTAAGTTTAAAGTTATGAGGTAGTCAAGTTTGTCTTTATAGTTTTGGTTGTTGATGTAATGCTTGGAGAGCCTTTTCCCCACCAGCATTATGTAAGTAGTGCCTGTGTTTTGTTTTGGGGCCTTATAATATTTTTTACCCCTTAAGTTTTTAATCCCCATAGAATTGATCTTGGTGACGGGTGTGTGGTAGTAATCTAACTTTACGACCGAGGAGTTTGCCCATATGGTTCCTTTAGGAAGGTTGTCCTGGCAGAGTGAGCAAAGTGGGTGGGAGTCGGGTGAAGGGGAGGAGTAGGGGGGCCGCTGAGCGGCCATGGGGGGTGGTGGGAGGGGGACCACAGGGACAGAGCCCTCCGGCTGTAGAGTGAGCGGTGACAACCTGTTGGCCCTGGTGGAAGGAGAAGGGCATTTCTGTTTGGGGTCCTGGTGAGACATCTGATGATGATCCTAAAATTGTGAGCTCGAGCCGGAAATATGACCCACCCACAGCCTGTTCTGCAAATAGCCACGCGTCACCATGGGACAGTGTCACCCGTCGTGGTTTGGGGGTTACAGAGGTGACTAGACAGTGGTGCCCAGTTTTGAGAATCTCCCTGTGGGGGAGCAGACACGTGAACTGCCAGGGACAGGGGCTGGCGGGCACATGGTTCTCTGTTCACAGAAGTCACACATCTCACAGCAGGGAGCGTGGGTCGGTGGAGCGCAGGGTGCAGTCAGAGTTGGGGAGGAGGTGACAAGAATGACCAGGAGAGGCTGCAGAGGAGGGGGCACACCTGCCGCGCTGAGGGGTTTGCACGCGGGTTCCACTTCAGGGTGAAGGCCGGTGTGCTCCGTTGCCTCTAGACTGTGGACTGTGCGGCCGACAGCAGGTATTTCCTTCCAGAAGCACATCTTCAGGGTCAGGATGGAGGAGTGAGCGGCAGTGCAGCAGGTACGAAGGCCAGCGGCCGTGTTCGTGTGCTGACGCAGTTTTCCGTGGGTCCCGTTCACAGCTGCAGTACGGTGACAGTCAGGACAATCCTGTTCAGTACTGGCTTTACAAAGAAGGAGGCGAGCAGAGACACAGGAGGCAGAAAGAAGCAGATCGAGAGCAGAGACATCGAGAAAAAAGCAGCGTGAGGGAAAAAAGAGACAAGCACTCAAGAGAAAAAAGTAACTCGTTCTCTGACAAGCCTGAACGGGAAGACAGACACAGAGAGAAGCGTCACAGGGAAGGCGCTCGTCTCGATGAAGAGAGGCATCCCGGTGACACGGGTAGAAAAGAGAGGTCGTCAAGAGAGGAGCTGAGGAAAAGAGAGTCCAAGGTACCGTTTCTGATGCTTCGTAGCCTTTGTAGCCATCCCCAGGTCACCACTCTTAGAGAGGAGGTAGATCTCTGTGTGGCCAGATGATAAGACCTGTTGCTGAGAAGTAGTAACCTTGGTAAAGACGTGATTCAGTCTGTGCAGTGTGACCAACAGAGACTGCTGACCTACTAGGAAATAGGAAGTCACGTTTTCTGATTATATCGTGAATGTACTTTTAACATCTATTCAGAAATCTATCATAAAACTGAAATTTTGAAACATTAAAAAGACAGATTTTTTTTTTTAATTTTTTTTTTTCAACGTTTATTTATTTTTGGGACAGAGAGAGACAGAGCATGAACGGGGGAGGGGCAGAGAGAGAGGGAGACACACAGAATCAGAAACAGGCTCCAGGCTCTGAGCCATGAGCCCAGAGCCCGACGCGGGGCTCGAACTCACGGACCGCGAGATCGTGACCTGGCTGAAGTCGGACGCTCAACCGACTGCGCCACCCAGGCGCCCCAAAAAGACAGATTTTTAAATGGCAAGTAAGTGAATAATTTAGCAAAATGTTTGAATCGGAATTAATAGTATTAAGTTTACAGAACAAAGCCAACAGAACACAAAAATAAAACCATTGCTTGCAAAGGGCCTGACGCTGCAGTTGCTTCATATTTTCCCATACTAATTGTATTTTTTGTTCTCGTGTGTACACTGTTTGCTGTGCTGTTTTTCCAGACTCTGAAGCAAAACGATTTCATTCTCCTGCCTCTTGGCAGTGCTCCCTGTCAGGTGGAAGCAAAGTGAGGGGCAGGTGGTGTGAGTCTCGGGGCCTCAGGCCTGCAGGGGCACAGACTGTGGTGGCTCAGCCAAAGCCTGGGACTCTGACTGACAGGTGCCCCTCCCCAAAAATGTGTCTGGTGGAGGAGTGCGTGTTAAGGATGTCCCAAAAAACCTTTGCGGTCGCTGCCTGGCCTCGTGGCCATCCCAGCTGGCTCTTTGCTGAGTGCGATAAATCAGCCTGGTGCTGCACCTTCTGGTACCTTCGCCAACACCTTCCCTCACAGCGGGACTGCACCCCTACCCTGTCACCTGCAGCCTCCACCCCTCATCAGAACACTGGTCATGTTTCTTAGCAGTTGTATGACAGGAGCAATTTTGTTAACCATGTGTGTATGTGTGTATCTCAAGTCCCTGGACCTCCCTTGGATCAGCCTCACTGTGTGTTTACATTCATAGCCATGTACTCATGTCAACAAGCTGAGGGAGGCAGTAATTGAGAAGGGACCCTCACCGAGAGGTATTCATCCCTCTTGTGTTTTAAATCGCTTTCCCTAGGGGCACCTGGTGGCTCAGGTGGTTAAGCGTCTGGCTCTTGATTTTGGCTCAGGTCATGATGTCATGGTTCTTGAGTTCAAGCCCCATGTTGGGCTCTGTGCGGACAGTGTGGAGCCTGATTGGGATTCTCTCTCTCCCTCTCTCTCTCTATTCCTCTCCTGCTCACACTCTCTCTTTCTCTCAAAAATAAATAAGTGAACTTTAAAAAACCTTAAAAAAATTATTTCCCTAGATTAAAATCTTTTTAGTGTGTTTTTCTATTATTTTATTATGAACGTTCTTAAGCATACAGCAAAATCGACAAGTTTCCACCACCTAGATCCTACCACTAACATTGTATTGAACTTGCCTATTTTACGTTCCCTAGATCACATTTAGTTCCTAGAAACAACCTGTTTGGTTCCCCACAGAAATGCCTTTTTGAGACTTGTCACAATATACACATCTAGCCTAAGAAATGGCCCCGTGTTAATAAAACCACTGCCTTCAACAATGCTCTTTCCATAGGGATTAACATAATAATTAGCCCCAAGAGAGACTCTTTTGACAAACTTCTTTCTTTTCAATAATTTGTTCATATTTGTGGACTGGCCACTGTGTGATGGCCTTTGTTCTATGTGCTGAGAACACAGCTGTGAACACAAATTTGTATTTTTGTGGTGTTTAAGTTTCATTGGAGGAGCCGTACAATAAAGAAATAAATAAGTATATAGTACATTAGAAGCGATTAGTGAGCACTGTGTATTTAACATTTCTCTTTGCCGTGACTTTCAGGCGCTCAAAATATGCTTTTTAACTTAGTTACTATGTTAGCCTGGTGATTGATGTAATTACCGCTGAGGTGACCATCACGAGGGCCAGTGTTACTAACTGTGTAACAGGTGTAAGCCAGGACCGTTCCCGGGGGTCGTGTTCTCCGTCATTCTCTCTCACTTTCTCTGGATGGTTTTTGGTCTGTTATTTTAACTGTGCGTGACTTTTATTGTGTGCCTCCTCCAGTTTCTCTTTTTTGTTTTTAAAGTAGGCTCCACACCCGAGGTAGGGCTTAAACTCACACCCTGAGATTAGGAGTCATGTGCTCAGGCGCCTGGGGAGCTCAGTCTGTTGAGCTTCTGACTTCGCTCAGGTCAGGATCTCACAGTTGGGGAGTTCGAGCCCCGCATTGGGCTCTCTGCTGTCAGCACAGAGCC